CATTCACTCACCTGATTGGCTGCTGCAAGGTTCAGAGGTGTGGCCTGGATACATTAGGTGCACTCAGTGTATATGAAGGTGAGGCTGTGATGAGTAAGCCATATCATAAAAATAAAAGATATCCTTATCAATATACACAATATTTTTGTATAAATTCATTAAATAAATGAGTAGATACATGAAACAACCTGATTAAACAATGTATACGTGTATTTTGTGGTTACATGGGAGATGATGTATGCTAGCAGAAATATCCTTTTAGTTTTGCCCTGGGTTATAGATTCAAATTCTATTACTTTTTTAAAAAATTATAACTATAATTTTAGCATATAATTTATGTTTTTTTGTTACTTTTTTGAAAAATAAAGAAAAAAGTTTAGAGGTCAGTGACAGCCCTGGTTTTGGCATCATTGACCTTGACAGTGATCGGTGTTGATGTTGAATGGTTTTATTATCTGATTAATCTTTCTATATCCAGAAAACCTGGATTTAAGGAAGGACATATTTGGTGTCCTCTTGGACCTTTTACAGAGTCCAGATTCCCATGCCACAGTAAGTATGTGCATATTCGTATACTGTATGTTACTAATATTAGCTGCTTCAGATTTTTTGCCTTCAAAGCTGATTGGTTGTTGAAACACCTTATTTACTTGAAGCTTTCTGTGATTTCCAAGGTCTTGAAGAAAACATTTCAGGCCGTTAAGAGGTGGATTGTGTGTTCGCCTTTCCCTGATCTCCTGCAGTTTATCATCCATGGTGAGGAGCTCTAACAGAATTCTGATATTTTGATAAAAGAGGCCTGCCAAAATTATCCCTGTTAAAAAAGAATTAAACTATAAACCAAATAACTAAACTAACCAATCATACTGATTTAATTTTAGGATGAGAGGTCCTTTATCATAATCAACCCAAAAATGAAACAAATTTTTACACTCGTGTCGTTTCAAACCTTTATGACTTTTCTGTTAAACACAAAAGAGGATATTTTGAAGAATGTTGGTAACCAGACCATTTTGGGTCCCATTGACATACATCGTATGGTCAAAACATATGATGGAAATTCAGTGGGAACCAAAACAGTTTGGTTCCCAACATTCTTCAAAAGATCTTCTTTTGTATTCCACAGAAAAAAGAAAGTCATACAGGTTTGGGATGACATGAGGGTAAATGAGGAATCATTTTTGGACGAACAATCCCTTGAAAAGAAACAAATATGATCCTATTGTTTTGAAATGAAACAGCTTGATGT